ATCGCGAAGAGTCAACTAAAGTGCTTCTTTATCCGTACTTTGTCCAACTTTTAGTAGCATATCAAACGGGAGATTGGAGGTATTCAGGAGCGTGGAACCACTTGTAATTTCTGTTTCTCCCAGGTCTACACTGACCAGGGATGGTAGTACCTGTTAGTGACCCAGTTATGGGTAAACAGCGACCCCCCACCAAAAAAAAATACTATGAAAGACTTTATTTTTATATAATAAAAATGTACTAACAATACATATTTATGGTAAAATTGTCAACAATACGCACAAACTAACAAATTGTAGCGACTTTACTCAAATCCGTTTAAAATACTTTCAATATGAAAGAACTCTTTCATGACATTAGTTCATATAATATCCTACAAGCTTGTTTCTCATTACACTCTGTTCGGATAAAAGATAGGGGAGTTTACGTACAACAGGTAAATATTTACATAGCTTATCTTGATTTGATACAAAGATTTACTCCTGTCTCGATAGAAAGGCTAATCAGTTCAAAACTGCAGCCGATGTCCAAAATGACCTCAAGTCTGTTGTTAACTGGGGTAAAAATGGCTTAATTTTAACGCCTCTAAAACTAAACTGCTCTCCATTAATCATAATCGTCTTCTATGAGCATGGCTGATGCGAACCTCCAGAAAATTGACTCGTTGCGCCTTCTCCGGCTAACGTTCTCAGCTGACATGAAGTGGAAAGACTATATTGAATCCATTGCTAGGTCAGCTGCTAAGAATGTTGGTTCACTGTGTCGTACGAGTCAAGTTTTCTCCCCATCTTGCATATCTATAAGTCTAACCATTCGTCCATGCTTAGAATATTGCTGCCACATTGGTACCTAAACTTTTGAATTTAAGCTCAGTACTGAGCTGGCTAGATGTAACCGTAAATTCTATGCTAACATTTTCTTTTCTTGCACTTTTCGCTTTTGGAACTCCCTTCCGGCCCCATGCATCCAGCCAAGTTTAATCTGCAAAAATTTAAATGCAATGTCAATCGCTATCTACTGTACTCCTGGTTACTCTTTTATCGTTCCGCTCATTATTAATGCTTCTTTTCTTAATTCTTACACATCCTGTAACGCATTGTATCTTAGTGTCTTAACTGCTTTGCATAGGGTGATACCGATTAAAAAAATACAACATTAGGATATACGGTAAGGATCGAACTCGTTACACTGTAAAACTGAACTGTGATAAAAGCACGCGTACTCTACGTTTGGTTATCTAAACTTGGACAATGTGGACAAAAGCCGCCAGAGAATTTTGCCAAGTACTTGGCCAGCTAAAAAGCGATTTGGAAAGTGGATTCCAGTTGACAATGATACAAAGCCTAATCAGTTGGCCTGACTTTCATATCTACTATTTGGTGTAATTATCATTTCAATTGTAATTGTTATTAATTACTGTGCAGCGATGAACTTCGAACGAATTTGGTCAAATCAAGTCCCCCGATACGACGCCCATTTAAATTGACCATTATTGAATTCCAGAATCGTGCCACGAACTTCTCTTCGGTTATAATTATGAATTCTTCCTTCATTGTCTTTTTCCTCATTTCTCCTTACTAATGTCTTCTCATTTTCTTTCACTCCCTGTAACCCTCGCGCCTTCGTAATATTATCGCCTTGTTTAGGGTTACATGATTTAAAAAAATGTCAGTTACGTTCGTCCATCTCATGACTGACATAGGTTATAACAGCCGATACTATCATTATCAGTGCTTTTCTTATAGAATCATGGGTTACCAGATTGGATTTCTTCTTTTATATGACATCGCTTCAGGACGTGGGCGATCTGAATTTCTTGATCTTGTTGCTCAATTAAATTTCAATAATTTGCCACCCCGTTTTGTCCTTCGTTCAATTCACACAAATTCGTTAATTAGGTTACTCGCTCTTTTTCCTGCTTCTCTTGCCTTCTTTAAGCTCTTTCTTCATTTCTGATTGTAAGTAGAAATTTCCTTGTAGTTCTTAGTTTTCCTTAACATTTCCTCATTACATGTTCTCTGTGTGATATTTTCACCATTTATCAGTAAAACCATATATCTGTCGCTTAAAGTCTCTTTTCATGTGTGGCTTACGGCCACATCACGTCGAAACACCGGTTCCCGTATTATTACCGCAGTTAAGCAACGTTGAACCTGGTCAGTACCTGGATGAATAACCACCTGGTTGCTGTAAACTTGGATGTGCGGGTGGTGTAATGGATAAATGGCCCGGAATTGTTAACTGTTAGATCCGAGTTCCTATTCCCGTTGGGTTCGTTACATTCACTTACATGCAAATACTCATGGGAAAGGCATGAATCCACCACTTCTCTCCCAGTTATGGATTCATTAGTAAGTCTTGTATCGCTAAACCATTATCTCCTGCACCTCAACAGAAATTTACAATCGAAAAATATCTTGGCTTTAAATAAACTGCAAACGGTTGATAACCGTAGAAAATGAATCTATCAGTCTTTTCATGTGTGAAGATTTTTCCAATATTCATTGTTGTATAGGAGATTCAAAATTACATAGCAGTTCAGCACTTTTTGTTTTTGTTTTTCTAACAAAATTGTCCCATCTCTTACTACTTTGCTTAGTTTCCGGAAGGTAACTTTGTTCCTATGCGCCTTCGTTGTTTTGTGTTACATATTCTTTCAGTAGTTGCTTCTTTCTTTTGTGTCGTGTCTCTTTATATGGTAAGCGATCATGGATCTCCACAGCTTCTTGTCATTGTAGCTCTTAATAAGTTTTGTCTTTTCTTTATTTCTTCCAAACTCTGTTCTATCATCCAATTGTTCAACCACATCAATTAAGTTACACTCTGCTTTCCTTTCCCTCAATCTGTACTGTGAGTATCAGATTTTCCAAGCTCTCCTTCCACATTACGTGCCCCAAAAATTTCAACTACCACTTCCTGATGTTAAGTATAAGTTTCCTTTTTGTTTTCATTTTCTAAAAATCCTCGTTCTTGCTCACATGTTTGATCCATGGTATCCTCAGCATCTCTCTGTAGGACCACATATCTTTGAAGATTGTCCAGTATTCGTTTCTATACAGAAGGACAGATATCATGTAACACTCCGATACTCATTTCTTTGCTCTTAACGAATTTTTTGTCTCTTAATACTCTGCTTAGCTTTTAGAATGCATATTTGGCCATCCAAATATCTCTTCGGGTCTCAGTGTGGCGCTTTCCATCCTCTGTTAGAACACTTCCCAGATATTTAAAATTCTCTACTTGTTTGAGTTTAGTATCTCCGATTTGTAATTTGCATTTTGGGCTCATCTATTTGCTTATAACCATGCATTCTGCCTTGCAGTTTATACTTAGTTCTTTGTTCTGACTTTTTCGCTACCTTCTGTAGGAGCTTTTGTAGTTTCCTTTACGTTTCTGCTATCAACACTGCGTCATCTGCATATCTTATATTGTTAAGACTGTGGCCGCCAATAATGAATCTTGGTTGGAGTTCTAATTCTCTCAGAATCGCCTTACTGTATAGGTTGAATAAATCCGGTGAGGAGGCACATCCTTGTCTTACGCCCCTTTCTATTTTTGTATATCTGCTGAAATCATTTTCTGTCTGTATGCAAGCGGTTTGTTGCCAGTACAAATTCTTTATTCTAATGCCTTTTGTGAATATGTCAATTTTGCTGAGCAGTTCTAACAGACGTTTGTGGCGTACTACGATATCCAAATAGGTGAATTTCTACATCTGCTTCTCACGTCCACAATACATAGCTCACACCATGAGCTGTTTCTTATAATTAAAAGTTAATCCTTTCTTGTTTTCTTTTCCTACTTTATCTAAGTTTGTTCAGTTTTCTTTCTGGTTCTGCCATCAACACACTACCATGCGCTTTACTTATGTCCGCCAGTAATAAGCCTTGGTAGGACTTCTAGTTCGCTTAGGAACGTCTCATTGTATACCTTGAGTAAATCAAACGAGGAAACATATCCTTGTCGAACTCCTCCTTATTCTTAGATTAGACAAAATAGTGAACCAATAAATATTTGAAAGCCCGGCGCTGTCACATTTTGAATTGATGTTTCGTAACCCAAAGTTAACGCAGCCTATTTCAAAAGTAGCTTCAAATTAGCAAGTAGCAAAATTTAGAATTTAATGGGGCTGGTTCTTCAGAATTACCCTAATATGGCAACCCTCTAGTAGAATAAAGGATGTCTAACCTCGTTTCAGTTTTAAATTTTGTGTTAGTCGTCAATAAAAGTAAAAAGTAAACATGGCTTCCGTTGGAACGTATTGTTAAGACGGGTATTTTTTTCTCAGAACTGTTTGGCGTTTTTTTTGTTTTTTTTTCTTTTCTTTTTGCATTTGTGCATGTGAGGTGATGTTAAAGGATGCATAGAATAGCAAACTACCAATCAGAAGACCCCGTTGGCGTAGAATGCCTTTAAGTTTGTTTTTTTTTTTTTTATATATATATATATATATATATAAGTCCAAAAAGGGGCAAAGACATTCAGACGGTTGCAAGAATTTCAAAGATCACCACGCCTTCCGTAATCAGTTGGCGAGGAAATTCGAGTTGCTGAATTGATATACCTCCTCTTGATCTTCTTCCTCTCACTTCCTCTAAGAAACGATGCCCCTCATATCCTAAACCATGACAAAAATGATACCGTCTGTGATGTAGCGTTGGAGTTTGAAGAATTAAAGTCAGTGACAATAAGAGTGATAATTCTTGGCACACACCTTTCAATGTGGACTTCAGTCCATAATTCATCAGACTTTGACCGAACCGGAAAGCATGTCTTTAATTGTAAATACCATTATCCTAGATTTCGAACCCACTTCGCAAGAGGTACATCTAATGACAAATATTTTAAAAATTAAAACTTTATCAAAGCCGCAAACAGATTTACATTAGATACATTATAAGGTCAATTAAAAATTGAAATAGTTGCTTTAGAATTTACTACATGTATGGATAGAAAAAAAATGTAATTTTCTATTTGCGATCTCATTTTATTTTATTTTCAGCCGTGACAGTCCGCTTTCTTACCAAACGATTTATCGGTGAATACAACTCTGATGTCGGTAAGTCTACTCAGTTTACACCCATCTGTTATTAGCAAATGTCATTTATTCCCTTGACGAATTACTCTGTTTTTTACCGCAACACTGTGATTGAGGTTAACATTGAGCTTGCATCCAGTTGTCCAAACAAACGCTTTTGATATTTCACGTTTATATATAAAAACGGTAAGCAGAGAAACAAAGATCAATATAAATGTCTGAATTCAGAGCTATTGTAACTATTATACATTGATTTTTACGAGTCTTTTCTGTCGTAACGTTTTGACGGCTCTATTTTCTAGGTTATATTCTGCCCGAATTTCTGATAGAATTGCTGTTATTATTACACATTAATTCTTTAGAACTATTTAAAAGTTCCAAGACCGACTCAAGTAGACGGTTACTGAAGATGGTTGTGTGAGTGGCGTAGTATATAAAGATATGTGGGAAAGATAACGGTTACCCTAGACTTGAAGAAGTTAAGATTGTAGGGGTCGGAATAGCTTGCTCTTGGGATCCTGCAAAAGTTCTTGCGAAGAAGTTATCAAAGTGAAACTTACGCCTTCCTAAAAGAATACTAAAGGAATGGGTGTTTATTAGCTGGGATGGTTATAGTTGGGGGGAAAATAAATCCAGCTCGTCATGAACTTTTGTAATAGAAATAGTGATAGATTAGCCAGAGGCTTGCAATGTTTCGTTAATTGAAAAGAGGGTTGTAAGTTGGAAAGAAATTAATCACTCACAAAGCCGCATAAACGCTTTTGAACACTATTTTTGTTTTCTTTTATCACGTTTTGACCGCTGTACCTTCCCGTCCATCTTCTCTCTCTGTTTTTACTATACTGCACTGAATCTTTCGGACCAATCGTCTACTCTTTTTACGATTAGTTTTTTAATCATTTCATCCCAAGCAAGGCAATAAAACCAATAAGACACAAGGGGTTGCTTAGCGTGTGGAAATATGAGAAAAAGAAAGCATTATTAAGGAAAGGGAACATTAAAAGAACAGGAATTAAGAAAACAGAAGATAACGATTGATATTGCGTTTAAATTTTTAAGATCAAAGTTGACTAGAAAGCAAGAAGCCGGTCCACAACCGAGAAGTACGAGAGAACATAAGACATACGGTTACATCTAGCAATTTCAACAGTAAAATGAAAATGCATAGTGAAGCTACATTACGGCACTGGGAAAGTGACTGAAGCCCAGCTGCCAGATCAAAGCCAACAATATTCTTCTTTGGATTTTATCAAGAATTTCTAAATACATACCAGAAGCACCAGATCAGATGTGACAGAAATATTCAATGCATTGACAAATTTAAGATTTGTAAACTTCCAAGAAGGATTTTGTCGAGAATTGTCTAGCATGACACAGCAGAAACTTCCACAGGTCGCAAGGGAAAAAAAGGTTCTCTCAGACGACTAAAAGAGAGCGGTTTTGTTTTGGATGCATTAGAATTACCAAGCCATTTCTTACCCCAGTTAACAACAGATTGTATGTCATTTTTTAGATCAGCCGCCAATTTAACATTTTATCGAACCGATCTGACTTACCATTATAATAGGAGTAAATATTTGTGCCATCAGCAAAGATACCGATTTGGGAACATTAGAAACAACCTATGTCCAAAGATAGATCCCTGGGGAACCCCTGCTTTAATCAAAGAAGATCAAGAAGTGTTGCCGTTCAAAACAAGTTTCATTTCGCGATTCAATAAGACTTAATCAGTTTTTTTAAAAAATCGCCCAGAAATACCATAACCTTTCAACTTGTGAAGAAGACCAGCGTGCCAAATCCTGTCAAATGCCTTCGATATATTCAAAGCAACAGCTCGAGCTTCACCATTCTTATCTAAACTTTGATAGACTTTCAGCAATAACCATTAATTTATCAGCAGTTGATCTAGAGAATCGAAATCATTATTGCTTATCTGAAAGAAGACTTTGCGATGTGTGATGCTTAACCAATTCAGAGTTGACCGGTGTGGCGCGCCTCATAAGTGCAGTGGAAGAGGTTAGCAGGTGAGGCGGAATGATTGAAAGAAAATCAAAGTTTAAGAAACAGTTTTTAAAAATTCATATGCCAAAAATAAATGATTTCAAAATTTAAAATATTATGGATTAATTGTACTTGCATGTATGAGACCCAATATAAATAGTTATAAGTAATTACTGACCGATTTTATCATTGTGATATTTTTTGCATTATATCAAGTATTAAGAACATATTAACTAGGGTCCGCAAACTGGGGGAGAGAGTTATCAAAGATAAGGTTCTGACTTCGAATCTCTAGTTATCTCTCTTTAAACCTCTCTCTGATTTTTTTTTTTTTTTTTAAAAATGTACTTTTTATCACATAAAATTTGGTGAGGCGAGAGCAAATTTGAATTCCGAAAATGCGGACTAGAAAAAAAGGGAACTAATATGCTAGGCGAAAATAAATATAGTAAATATGAATAAAATCTATAATCTTATTACTGAATGAATTATTGTAAGTGATTAGTTATTAAGTAGAAAAGTAGCAATGAAGGTTACAATCAGAAACAAATTATATTCAATGAATGCAAGGTCAAATTAGAACAAAGGATTGCTATTCTTTTTCATACAATATATTCAGAAGCCCTTGTTATAAATTATAGGAAACATAAAATTTGGCGCAAGGAAATTTTCATTTCGAAAATGCGGCCCAGAGAAAAAACGCTTGAGAACTAATACTCAGAAAGAGACAGCAGTTTCATATGCCGATAGAAATATTAGACAGTTCACCTGTGATGCCTTTCGAATTTCCGCGAAGTATTTTCTTTTTCATTAAATCTTGATTGTCCCGGAACAGTGTGATTGATTTTGTTGAGTTCGATTACTAACCTAAATAAAATTACAGCAATTTCTTCAAGGCTCCCTCTGTTGAAAATTTTACTTCGATACGACAATGAAAGAAAACTTTCAAACGCCACTAACTGAAAAACTCTACGAACTTTTGTTCCAACTCAATATTTCTACTTAACATGATGTACATTCCTGTTCTTAAATCCCCACTCGTGCTTGATACTATCTGCTAAAAGAAAATACCCAACAGGTACAATTTTTTAAAATTCAGTTTTACTTACCTCGTGATTTTAAAACTTATTACTTTCAGGTTTGAACGTAACAAAGTTGTCGTTAGGGTACCTAAACACAACCATTAATGAGTTACCAATAATTTCTTTGTTACTAATTGTTCACCCAATACAAGGCCCATGGGCTACTGAAGGAAGAGTATTACTGACTGATACATAAGAGGATATGACGAATATGATTTAAAAGGAAATGTAGGAAAGATACGATTGTACGACAGCAATAGCTGACCGTGACCTTTACTACAATCTCTATCTTGTTTACTTGACTGCTGGAAGTCCTCTTCGATCGTTCCTGTCTTCAAGAACTCCGGCGACCCCCTCTGACCCTTCCAACTACAGTCCTAACAGTCTCCTTCCCCTCTTCGGCAAAGTCTTCGAAGCTCTAATCAATACCGAGGTGGTTAACCACCTCACATCCCATAATCTGCTCTCAGACAAGCAATATGGTTTCCGCTTTGCCCGATCTACAGCCGATGTGCTTACAGCCATCACTGAAACAGTCTACCGAGTTCTCCAAAATAACGGGGAAGCCCGAGCCGTGGCACTAGACATCTCCAAAGCATTTGATAGGGTTTGGCATGCCGGCCTTCTTCGCAAGATCCAGGGTTATGGCACTTCGGGTCGATTATATAACCTAATACAATCATTCCTGTCAAACCGTGAATTGAAGGTCGTTCTCAACGGATTCTCCTCCAGTTCCTATCCCACGAACGCAGGTGTTCCTCAAGGCTCCATCCTAGGCTCCACTCTATTCCTTATCTACATAAATGACATTCCTGACGCCATAACTTCCCAAGTTGGCATCTACCACAATTTATTCCTGCCTCAAAAACAAATCTAGTCTTGCTGACAAAACTCACCTGGCCGTGCGTCTCGAAAAGGACCTCCAATCGATTGTGAACTGGGGCATGAGTTGGCTGGTCAACTTCAACGCTTCTAAGACAAAACTGCTCTTTATTAATCACCATAGAGAGCCTTCCCTTCCCTCCATTAGAATGTCCGACGCTCAACTTCTCGAGAGCAACTCTCTGCGGCTGAGATGGAATAAATACATAGTCAATTGCCTCGTCCACTGCAAGGAAAGTTGGCTCCCTGACCCGCGCCAGGAAGTTTTTCTCCCCGGAGTCGATCCTCCAGATCTACAAAGCCACAATTCGCCCTTGTATGGAGTATTGCTGCCATATATGGTCTGGTGCCCCTTCTGTTTGCCTTGGGGTTCTTGATAGGCTCCAGAGGCGGATATGCAATGTGGTTGGCCCTGCCCTGGCGTCTCGTCTACAGTCACTTTCTCACAGACGCGCCGTTGCCTCCCTCTCTGTTCTACAAATACTTTCATGGAAATTGCTCCGAGGAGCTGCATTAGCTGGTTCCCAGACGTCATGAGTTCCAGCGCCCTACGAGGCTGGCATCCCGCTCTCACCCCTTCACTGTCGAAACTCTTAAATGTAGCCGTCTCTTCTACTCTAATAGCTTCATGTCTCGCACCTCTCGCCTGTGGAACACCCTTCCCTTCTCCTGTTTCCCTGTGAGCTATAATCTCCAGCTATTCAAGTGTAATGTCAATCGACATCTCCAGTTGCCTTGATCTATCCACTACCCTCATCCTTTCTTCTATCACTCCTATCTGATCTTGCTCTAAATTTTCTGTAACCCCTTGCGACCTAGTGGCTTCCCGCCTTGCTTGGGGTGAAATTCTAAAATATATATATATAATCTTTCAAATATAATGTTATTAAGCTTATCAGACAACATGAAAGGAACATATATAAAATAAATAGAAAAAACTTGTCTATATTATTTAATGAAACGTGCATCAATGAAAAATTGCTGCCTAAATATACACTATATATATATTACACACACAAAAAAAAAATTAGCTTCCACACGAGTGTACTAAAGTAA